GGAGTTACACAGGTGATGGCAGCTCCTGTGTTTCCTTTTCATTCGTTCCCCTTTTTAAAACTCCTTTCTAGTACCTTCCATGCTTGAGAGGCAAAGAGTCCAGAACCTTGATTCTTGCTTAAAGGTGTGTATAGAATTGCAGTAAAAAATGGGTACTCTCGTAGAAGAAACAAGAGCTTCTCACTTGGTACCCTCTCCTCCCAGTGACTCAGGAGGCTGAGCCAGGAAGGTCATTTGAACCGGTTTAAGGCAAGTCTTGGCACCATGGTAAGAATCACCCTACACCTCCAAGTCAAAAAAAAAGAAAAAAGAAAAAAAAACTGTTTATAAACAAAAACAAAAAACCATTTTAAAGACAGAGGCTTCTTTACTAGGAATTAATTTTGGGGCAATTCTTTCAGAAAATGGTTGCTTCCATGTTCATCTGAGAACAATACAAACTGGTTTTCTTAGGGGACAGAAAACTCCATGTTATCTATCTATTTATTGTCTGTTTAATATATGAGTGTTGTGGTGGTTTGAATGAAAATGGCCCCCACAGGCCCCGAAGTTTGAATGCTGAGTCCCCAGTTGGTAGAACTGTTTGCAAAGCATTAGGAGGTGTAGCCTTGTTGAAGGAGGTGTGGCTTTAATGAAGGAGTTGTTGCCTTGTTGGGGCAAGTCTGTCACTGGGGGTGGGCTTTGAGGTTTCAAAAGCCTAGTCAGTGAGTCTGTCTGTCTTTCTGCCTCCAACTTGCAGATCAGATGTAAGCTCTCAGCCCCCGTACCTTGTCCGCCTCCTGCCATGTTCTGCCATTGGGTTATAGAGTCAACGGCGGAAACGATAGGCAAAACCTCAGTGAAACGCTCTCTTCTGTAAGCTGCCTTTGTCATGGTGTCTCTTCACAGGACCAGAGAAGTAATCCAAGTGTGCTGCCTGTGTGACTACCACCTTCATGCTTTGTGCCCTTAGGGTCAGCTGAGGGAGATGGATCCCCTAGCACTGGAGTTATGGACAGTTGTGAGCTGCTGGGAACTGAACCTGGCTCCTCTGCAAGAGTAGCAGATGTCTTAACTGCTGAGTCATCTCTCTATGATTTCCCCCTCCATATTTCCCTCTAAGCCTCTCTATGTATTTCTTAGAATGTATCTAGTACTTGAACAGAAAACTCTATTCCCCCTATGATGGGATATTAAAATAATTATTACTATTGTGTACATTCATGTGCTGTGTGTGTGCATACGTGCAAGCCATAAGGTTCATGTGTGTGTGTGTGTGTAGGGGGGGGTCAGAGGACAACTCTGTGGAGTCAGTTTTCTCTCTTTACCTTTATGTGGGTTCCATGGATCGAACTCAGGCAGCAAGTTTGCACAGCAAGTGTTTTTTTTTTTTTTCCATTGAACAATCTCCTTAGCCCTTTCATGAAACATTTCAGGAACACTAGTGTTTTGTGAGTCATACTCTAGAAAGTTATGGTTTCAGATAGGGTGTAAAGTCTTAGACTAGAAATGTGAGATAATTTCAATTTTCACTAAACATTTGAAGTTATGTCCTCACTCATTCCTATTGGACCCTAGAGCTGGTAACTCAACATGACTTGGTGGTTTCATCCTCAGAGAGATGGTAGGTTCTCTCTTCCTTCCCTCCCTACCCTCTCCCTTCCTTTAATGTTGACACCCACCCACCTGCTTGAGAAAGTTGAGGTGTAGGCCTCTGACATAGGGAATCTGGAAGTCTAGACCCTGCTTATCCCCAGGACTCTCTATTTTTGTAGATCCTGATTGTGGTAGTATTGCATGGAAGGTATAGCCTAGCTTGGACAGAAGGTAACTGAGGGTTTTGGCTAAGAGAAGAGGGGGCTAGAGATGGGAAAAGTTGATGAAATTATTTTTGGCAGGAGTTGGAACCAAAGCAGCAGGAGAGAGTAAGTTTTAAGACTTTCTGGCAAAGAAACTTCCTAATCTGTCACTGAGTATGTGTAAAAAAGTGATTAGTAGGTCTCTATATTTATCATGATTACTCACAAATACGTAATTTACATAATATATACAGCACATTAAGTACTATGTCACCTTATATAATGTGCACATGTATAATATATATATGCATGTTATATAACGCCAGTCTGGAGGCTCTTACAGGTTCTGCCAAGTATTTCCTAATTTATTTGGCAATTTTAACGTATTTTTTCCATCTGTAGAATGAACTCTCCTGAGAGGGGTTGGTCTGTGACCTGAATATAATCGTCCTACGAAGTCTGTCTCTGCTCTCAACTCACTGGGGAAACCCCATGAAAACTATGCCATACTGAGCTACGATACCTAGCCCATCAGCCCAGCAACAACAAGGTGCACTGAAGGTTTCTGGTTTCATTGTTTTTATTGCTAGTGGGGTGGAAGCATGAAGGCAGGTGAGAACATGTCTGCAGCGTGGAAAGAATCCGAGCAGGATAGCACATAAAAGACCAGGCTCTCCCCTGACTGTGTAGCTTTAAGAAGCCACCAAAACACCAGAAAGCCCCATTCTCAGTAGGATGGAGATGATAGTATTTGTTGGCTAAGAGCTTGGAGTAGGGGTCACTAGGATGATGCACTACACAATAAGAAACCCCAGTCGGGGTGTTTAAAAGATGACTTGTAAGGTAAGATTAAACAGCAACACAAGACTTACTAAGATTAGCAAATCAGAAATGCAATGCCATGATGTTTTTTACTCTGTGCCTCTTAAAGTATTGGGCCGTGTCTCTCAGGTAACATTCAACCTCTGCAGGGCCCTTTCACAAGACTTGGGTGTCTCTGGGAATCCATTTTGTCTATCGATGGTGCTGTTTCAACCTGCAATCTTGGGGGATCAGAGCTGAAACACATACAAACACTTCTGTAAATGTCTTCGAATCAATGGTCCTGAAGCTGAACCTATGTCATCTTCAGAATCAAGCATCTTCCAAAATAATATCTGCTGCCATTGGGGAGCGTGTTGGTCACATCACCAAGCATCCCATCAGTATGTTCTTTAGGTGGCCTGGGTTTCTGCTTGCTCAACAGAAGCATGTTAGGTTGAGCAAGGCGGTCCCAAGTCTCAGCTCTCGATTCTAGATGATGGCTTCCTTCAGAGGTGGTACACATTCGATTTGTACACATTCTTCTTGTTTCCTTCTGTGTCCATTGCAAGATTAGCGGCAGCTCAGTGGAGTGATGTCAGTTGGGCCTATGTTTTCTCTTGAGAAATCTGAGACAGAGATGAAGGCTCAGTTGAGCCTTCATTGATGCTCTGTGTAGAGGTACCCTCCATAGAGGAGGGGGATGCTGACAGGAGCTGAATGAAGCCCACTGAGCATGACTAAGGCTGTTCTGTCCTGGTTGTCAACATCCTACAGAAGGAAATTCTTTACTGAAGTCGTATCTGTAGCCAGGAATGTTTCCAAGGCAAGATGATCTGGTGACCATGATGAGATGACATGAGAATTCAATCAGATGATCTGTCTGGGGCCTTCAACTTCAGGCCAACTTCTCTCCATGTAGGACAAGCCATAGAGAACTTGGGAAGTAGCCTAAGTGTGGGCTTGTCCCATCCATGCACAGGCTATATGATGGTTCTTCCCTGACAGCCTGGATCCAAGTGCAACCACTTCTTGGTGACCAGAAATGACCCTATTCCCAGATGAGGGTCCTTTTGTGTATTAATGATCTTAGTAACGTTCACAGTCAAACCTCATTAGCCAGGATACCATAAAGAAGCTTTTAACTTTTCCACAATTCAGCTTTCTTATCAATCAATGGGGGAATGAGCCTTGAACAGCATGTGTTACATGGTTGTTCCCAGGATGTAGATCATTCCTGTCTACCTTGTAACCAGCCAGGGAAATATGTCTCTACAATCAAATGATGGTGGGAGAGTAGGGACCTTCTGTTTTCTTTCCCATTTTCAGTTCCCACAATATCTATGTTTACTTCTAGTAAGGAAAAGTCCAGCAGTAAATAAATATTTATATATTATATATAAACATATATGCTACATATGTACATATATAAGACCCTCAGGTCATTCTGTCACACTGTGAGAGTGAGAAGTGCAAAGAAACAGGCAATCTCCTGATGGGCTAGCTTGTAGTTTTCCCAGCAAAGCCCCTCCCTCTCATCATCTTTGCCACTAGGGCTTGGGATTCAAATGAGAGACACACTTTGGCTTGTGTGGTAGTGAGGGGTGGGAAGTATTGGGAGTGTTTTCTTTTCTTTCCTTTTTACATAATATTATGACATCAATTTGAAAAATAAAGTCCACGTTCTCTGCTTTCCCTCCCAGGTGTTTATAGGAACTATGAAAATAAATACCACATCTAAAGTATGCTGCCCAGGCAGCCTTGTTTGTTCTCTGAGCAAACAGCCACCAAGAGATGCTTCATGAAGCGAACAAGTGCCCATGGACAGCAGAGAGAACCAAGAATGGAAACAGCTTTCTGTGGCTTCTTGGCTTTCCTCAGCAAGTGAGGGGAGGAGCTGCTGCTTGAAGGACAAGGAAGAAACCATCGTGTGCTTGCTGAGCCCTGCCAAGGGTTTTGCTTGGAGAGCTAGAGGCTGTTTTGTTTCCATACAGAAGGACTTTTGTGCAAAATTTCTGGGTTGGAGCTCTTTCCCTTGACCACATCCGATCTCACTGTAGGCAGGAAACCTACAGCCTGAAACCTTACAGGAGTGGTGAAGAAGAAAGCAGATTTCTCCTTCGGGCTCAGTCTAACCAAGGCCTGTGGGAATGTGGAAGTTGCTGTAGGAGCCAACCCATCCTGGTGGGCCCTGAGTCCATTCAAAATATTTCATGGATATCGGCTCTGTTAAGAGAGGATCCGTTTTCAAAATAGGTAGACACTATGGCAGGATGACACTTTCCTCTGGAAGGGTGGCTTTGCTCCCTCTGGTTACAGGTGTGTGTGTGTGTGTGTGTGTGTGTGTGTGTGTGTGTGTGTGTGTGTCTATAGATTCTGCTTTCTCTTCTTGGTGGAGCTGGTGTTTGTTTGGCACACTGTTTAGTCTTTTGAACGGCTTTTCCTCCTCAATGAGAAGAAACTGCTCTTCTGGGGAGGCCCCATCATCATAGGTGCCTGGTTTTTGTGAGTGATTTTAATCTGAAATAAAGAAACAGAGTTAAATTAGTGGGAGAGTGAGTTGTGGAGAAAGAAGGCGGCCAGCTTTGGACTCAAAGGAGCCCCATGCAGAAGGACAACTGTCCTTGAACAGTTTCAAAATTGGCAACTTGACCCTGACTGGGCCTGGAGTTTGGCACTGCTGGAAGTGAGGGGCGGAAACACCGGGGAGAGACAGGTGTGAGCTTCCCACGTGGCCATCAGCTCGCACCTGTCTTGTGCCCTTGCTATTCATAGATTGTCAGAATGTCACAGCCAGAGGAGACCTCAGGAACCTTCCCATTCACCCCTCTGTAGCATGGATAAGGAAGAGGAGCCCAGAGCTCTGTGGGGGACTTAGCCTAAGGTCACATGGAGGAGTGGGGGTGGGGGCAGGAGAGCCACAATGCAGTTCTCTGTGATCCCAGTACCAACGCAGCCCAGGCAGCAGACATAGTCAACCAGCTAACCTGAAGGCTTCAGTTAGCCTCCGGCCAAGCAACCTCATATGGGCCGTTCCTAAATGAGTCCCGTAGGCATAGACCATTTTCTTAGACTCTAAGACAACCCTATTTTCTTGTATAAGCTTTATATTATTATTATTATTTTTAGTTTTAAGGCTTATGATTTTATTCTATAAAACATTCCGTTAATTATAGGCATGGTTTCAAAATGCTTAATTCCTATTTGAATGTGGCCTGGTGACACTCCCACACTAATAATCTGCATTATCATTCCATCGACACTTATCAAGTATGATAGATGTTCAGAGTGGGTGGTTGGTACGGGAACAGGAGGTACTTAGGATTCAAAGACTCGGGCGTGGGGCCGTGTACGTCTATTTCCTTGGTGCAGAACTTTGGACAAATAATTTATCATTCAGAGAACAGTGCTTGCCAAACTTCAAAGTGAGGATAACATTGATACTATTTCTTTACACAAAGATCATATGACACTGTCAATGAAAGCCCATTGTAAACTGCAAAACGGAAGGGAACGACTAGGTGTTATATTGGAGAGAAAGAGAATAGATGCCAAAGGAAACAGAACCTGGAAGCTCATAACTCTATGAACCTAATCTTGCTGTTTTGCATCATACTATTGAGAATGACAGTGTGACCATGGAGAAAAAGAAAATAGAATTATTGAAGAGCAACCCATCATCAATTTTAAGTTAATGTAGGATTAACACCAAGGGGTGTTAAAAAAGAAATTAAGTAAGAAACAAGAAAGGTCTGATGAGAACAGAGAGGCCCCCTTACAATTTGAAGGTGAGGAAAAGGAAAAAGAGAGGGCATGGGATAAAGAAACCATGTCTGAACAGTCTAAACTGAGGGCAAAGGTCTGGGAAGTTGGTTGATAATAGGGCTTCAAAAGGGCATTTCGAGCCTGGGTTCCTGTGAGGTAATCACAAAGTATGAACCATGGCGGAAAACTAAGATGAACGAAAAGGACTGGGCAATTATTCAACAGCTGTCATCAGAGTGAGTTAGGGTGGAAATGTCTGGCTACGAAGAGTACTGTAAGGCTCACATTTAGAAGGCCCCAAGAACGGGAAAGAAGAGGACGGACGTGAAAGACACTGGACAATCAGCATAGCCTGGTGATAGAGCTGAAATGACCGCCCTGCTGGCTTCCATCAGCCTGGGGATGGTGAAGAGAGGAGTCTGATTTTCTGCCAGAGGAGGGGATCAAAAATCCATCCAACAATATTTTGTATTGTGTGCCATATCGCAGCTGTTACGTTTGTTCCAGCCCTGATGCAGGTGAGGCATGGAAGGCAACTCTAGCAGCACCTCCATGGCCTGCTCTCTAGCATGCTCAGCCGCTAGAGATTTGTGACACAGGCTTTGGGATAAGCCTTCTTGCACTGCTGAGCTCAGATGTTCACTTAGATATCCCTAAACTAAGGGGATGTTTGCTGGGAGAACGTGCTGGGGAAGAGGAACCAGGCCAGAGAAAAGAGCATTTTCCTGGCATTCAAGGTGGCTACGTTTGGGGAAGCAGGTGGCAGCTGCACGCAGCTGGCTGTATTACAAGAGAAGGCCCTTGCTTCTTTCTCTGCCTCTAACTGAACTAAGACTTGCCTGTTAGCACCTCCAAAGCTAACAGAGGAAGCGAGATTCAAATCTGTTTCGCAACTTTATTATTATTATTATTATTATTATTATTATTATTATTATTATTATTATTATTATTATTATTATTTTAAGATGGGCTCACTGTGTAGCCTGGCTGGTCTAGAACTCTCTTATGTAGCCCAGGTTGGCCTCAAATTCAGGGTGATCCTCCTTCAACTCCATCCTGAGAGCTGGGATTCTAAGTAGGCTCTGCCACATCCAGGCTTCTCCACAATTTTAACAAATGTGCCAGTAGGGTAGGTGTTTGGAATGTCTCCTTAACATGATAATGTGGTCATGTTTGAGGGGTTGATTGCTGCAGATAACTGAGGGAGGCAAGAAATCATATCCTCATTTTGAGTAAAAAAGGATAGCAGTCCTTTATCCCCAAGTCAGAAGGGCATGAGGAGGCAGTTTGATTTAGGTAAGACCACTGTCAATCCTGAAAACATAGGAAGAGTATCCTATATTTCTTAGTCGAAGCTTATCCTTGCTTGCTAACTGAGCTGGAATCTAAGTCTGAGAGGGAGGGGAGAAGGGAAGGGGGGAGGAGAGAGAGAGAGAGAGAGAGAGAGAGAGAGACAGGAGACAGTTAAGGCCCCACTTTTGAAAGGAGGATAGTTGTTAGTGTTCTGCTTAGTTACAACTGATCCAGTACTCCTGTGTCATAGTTCCAAATTCATAGCTTGTGGGTTCTCGTTTTTTCCCTTTTTCCTTTTTTTTTGTTTTGTTTTGTTTCTGTTTTTGTTTTTTGAGACAGGGTTTCTCTGTGTGGCCCTGGCTGACCTGGAACTCACTCTGTAGACCAGGTGGGTCTCAAGCAGAGATCTGCCTGCCTCTGCCTCCCATGTGCCACCACTGCCTGGATGGGTCCTCCTTTAAATGGAATAAAATGCTAAGCTTCACTCCAGTTACAGATTGCCTTTGCAGTTCTAGTCTCTGAAAATCAATGCATTTTATGACTTAAGGGAAGCAATAAAGCGAGGGCTCCTGGATTTTGCCATCTGAGAGCAAATGCTTTAGAACTGGAACACTACCCATGCTGTGAGTTCAAAGCCTGCCCTGGTCACTGCAGTGCCAAAGGGCACAGATTCAAAAGGTCTGAAATGCTCTCAGTGACATTTGAGAAATTAAGGTAATTTTCTTTCTTAAAGTCATCATAGAAGAGGGCAGGGGCTTCTAATAAAAGATCTGGTATCATCTTTTAAATCTTCGATATTTCTGCCAGGGGTGGCACACCTTTAATCCCAGTGGGAGGCAGAGGCAGGCAGATCTCTGTGAGTTCGAGGCCAGCCTGGCCTATAGCATGAGTTCTAGGACAGCCAGGGCTGCTACACAGAGAAACCCTGTCCCAACAAACAAACAAACAAACAAACAAACAAACTTAGCTATTTCTGGGTTCTCCAAGATCTTGGAATCCTCTTTCAGGAACGTTTTCTAACACAAGAGGCCTTTGTGACAGTGAGTGATCTACTTGGCAGAATTCAGAATCATCGTAGCCTGACTATGTTAACTATAGAGGTAAGACCTGCATATTATGGCACCACAGTCTAGCTGCCACCCTGGACTATGTCAGTGGGGAAAGGGAGCGGGCAGGAGAGTGCATTCATCTCTCTCTTTTTCCTCACTGTGGATGCCACGTGACCAGTTGTTTCATGTTCCTGTTGCCTTGACTGTACCCTTGAATTGTGAACCAGAAGTTGATTTTATTAAAATCCTGTAAGTTGATTTTGTTAAAACATTTCATAGCAACAGAAAAACAAACCAAGACAGGCTCCAAATGTAGTAGGGACAGCCAGGCTATGCAAGAGTGAAGCTGACTGACGAGTGGGGGGTTTAACTACTTCAGTGGTTCTCAAACGTTGGTCCTCGAAACTACAGCATCAACATCACCCTGGAATTTGTCAGGAAGCCCAATTCTTGGACATCAAGAACAACTAGAATAGAACTCTGAGAAGTGTTCCAGTCACATACATTTTAACTCCCACCTCAGCCTCACATTTACTCAAGTTTGGAAGCCACCGAACTGAGTAACTGTGCTCATTTTCAACTTAATGATTTAACTGTTATCCAGCTTTAGAAGGAGACTCTTTATGTTTTACTTTGTGAGACAGAGTCTCATGTATCCCAGGTTGGCCTTCCACTCATTACATAGCTGATGATGGCCTCAGACTTGTGATTCTCTTGTCTCCAGCTCCCTGGTGCTAGGATTATAGTGTGAACAATGATGGTGAAGCATGGGATAATATTTCACAGCACTGTGTAAGGCAAACATTCTTAATAAATATATATTTTACATATGTATATATGTTCCTACATATAAACAGATATCTGGTCATTTTTAAGAATTTGTAAAACAATTTAAAAGTTTAAAAATCCTACAGATAACAACTTGCTTTAATTTATTTCTATGCTTGCATGTCTTGACTAAAATTGAAATCAGCATCTAAAACTGCTGTGTTTTCTTTGATATTATTTTGCCAGTGCTTTAATGTCCTCAATATTTAATTTTAAAATGAAAGTGTATTTCTAATTAATTAATTTAACTTACTCAGTTCTGGAGATCCAATCCTGGGCCTTGTATATGTTAGAAAAGCATTTGCCCACTGCACTATATCTCCAGACCGTAACATTTTATTAAATTGTACCTTCAGTGTCTAAAAATTATTCCATCTGATGAATATCATGTAGCTTTTAAAAAACTTGTCAGGGCTGGTGAGATGGCTCAGTGGTTATGAACACTGGTTCTCTTTGCAGAGGACTTGGGTTCAGTTTCCCGAACCCACACAGTGGCTCACAACTCTCTATAACTCCAGTTCCAGGGGATCTGGTACCCTTTTCTGCCCTCCAAGGATATCAGGCACACACACAGTGCACATCCAG